TTAACAATATAGTTGATGACTTTTTTATATATATATATGGTTAGCACTTCCACCTGGCAGTACTAGGGTTGTCGGCAGGGGCGGGCTGACCATTTGAAAACTTGGGCACTGCCCGAGGGCCCGGGGTTAGTAGGGGGCCCCATGAGATCCCCCTGGTACTTTTTCATAGGCTTTTTTGAGTTTGGGCAAGGACACAGGGGCCCCATGATCCCCTATTGCCCGGGGGCCCCATGAGTTGTCAGTCCGCCCCTGGTTGTCGGTTTGAATACCAACCATGGCACCATCCACCTGGAGTTTGCAGGCTCTCCCTGTGCCTGCGTGGGTTTCCTCCAGATACTCCAGTTTCCTCCCACACTCCAAAGACATGCTGGTAGGTTAATTGGCTCCTGTCTAAATTGTCCCTAGTATGTGTATGTATGAATGTAAGTTAGGGACCTTAGATTGTACGCCTCTTGAGGGTTAGGGACTGATGTGAATGTACAATATATATGTAAAGCACTGCATAAATTGATGGTGCTATATAAGTACCTGTACTAATAATATATCAGATCACGGGGTCACACCCAAATTCCTATAAAAAAATATTCTTGGTGCCATTTGTAATGTAGAAATGTATGTTCAAAAATAAGCCTTCGTGTATTAGGACAATGTGTGAGGAGGCTTATAGAAGAAGACCATATTTCTTCTGATTATCGGGAAAAGTTTGTGGTTGAAATCTATACAAGGAAAATCTGCTTATATGACCGCAGTATTAGGGGCCTGGGAGAATTCTGAGCTTTGCATATACTGAAAACCATAGACGCACAAGTAGCAGGAGTCTCTCTTTGTATGAATTACACTTTATATGTATACAAATGGACATTAGTCTATATAGACTACAGTATAGAGCAGGGGTGGGCAACTGTTGCCCTCCAGCTCTTGTAGAACTACAAGTCCCATGAGGCATTGCAAAACTGACAGTTACAAGCATGACTCCCAAAGGCAGAGGCAGGATGGGACTTGTAGTTCACCAACAGCTGGAGGGCCACAGTTGCCCACCCCTGGTATAGATAGTGGCCTTAATAAGTATACTGTATACCTTTTCTTCTTTTTTTCCAAATCACCAAAAGCAAAATGAACAGCACCGGAAGCAAGGAGATAAGTACGGTAGACCATATGCGCGGTTCACTGCAACACCATCTGCAATGAATTAACAAAAATGCTATATTATTTAATATAAATTGATTATATAAAAAATGATATCTTAAATATGTTTAATACTTAAATGGCTTCGATGTGCTGTTACTCTATAATAATAAATTATACTGTATGCATCAATTAAAGCTTATATTATTAAATACTGTATAATGTTGTAAACAGTTATTCCTAATTAGCAATAAAATGTACTTGCGGGGCTTTAAAAAAAAAAAAAAAAAAAAACAAGAAATAATGAAAACCTAGTAACACTCTTACATTGTATTTCTCAATTATAATAATTATTATTTTACAGATGTATATAGTGCCAACAGATTGCACAAAATAATAATAATAATGGTGAAGACTCTTGCCTTCAAATAACTTATAGAGTCACACTAATAACACACAAGTATAAAAAAAATGAATGTAATGAATCATAGGATCAATACTGCCCAAAAGGGCACCCGCAATACTGTTACAAATAGAAAAACCTATAATAACCCATTTGCTGCCAGAGCCATTTTCGTGTTTTTTGCACCTTTGTTTAAAAAATAATTTCAGGCCTGAAGTTTGCATAAACACCCCCTAAACATTATATATTTTCTGAAAGCAGACACCCTGGAGAATAAAATAGTGTTAATTCCAATATTTTATGTCACATGCAGGAGCGGACTGACCATTTGGAAACTCGGGCATTTCCCGAGGGCCCGGGGTCAGTAGGGGGCCCCATGAGATGCCCCTGTTACCTTTTTCATAGGCTTTTTTGAGTTTGGGCAAGGACACAGGGGCCCCATGATCCCCTATTTCCCCCGGGGGGCCCCATGAGTTATCAGTCCGCCTCTGGTCACATGATATTACTGCAAAGGCTTAGGAAACACAACATTTCAGTAAAAAATACACTAAAGTTAATTTTAGGGCACAAAAATGCAATAAATTACCCAGTTTTTGGTAAAATATAAAAGAGGTTGCACCGAATAAATAGATACACAACCTTAACCACTAGCCTACAGGGCACTTATACCCCTCTTCCTGCCCAGACCAATTTCCAGCTTTCAGCGCTGTCACACTTTGAATGACAATTGCGCGGTTATGCAACACTGTACCCATATGAAATATTTATCATTTTTTTTAGACAGATAGAGCTTTCTTTTGGTGGTATTTAATCACCTCTGGGATTTTTATTTTTTCTTAAACAAACCAAAAACCACTGAAAATTTAGAAAAAAAAAAAGTTCTCTTAGTTTTTTTGTTATACAATTTTGTAAATAAGTGATTTTTCTCCTTCACTGATGTGTGCTAATGAGGCTGCAGTGATGGGCACTGATAGGTTGCACTGATGGACACTGATAGGTGGCACTGATGAGGAGGCACTGGTAGGTTGCACTGATGGGTATGGACAGGCATCACTGATGGGCACTGAAAGGCAGCACTGATACATGACACTGATATATGGCACTGATAGGTGGCACTGATAGGCGGCACTGACTGGCACTGATAGGCGGGACTGACTGGCACTGATGGGTGACATTGAAAGGCAGCTCAGATGGGCACTGATATGTGGCAATGATGTACAATGGTAGGCACTGATATGTGGCATTGATGTGGCACTGACACGTGGCAGTGATGAGAACTGACTGCTGCCACTGATGGACACTGACAGGTGGCACTTCTGGGGCCACACTGATCATCAGGGCACACTGATCATCAGTACCCTGATGATCAGTGTACATGTCCCCTCCGCGGAAAGCCGATTACCATTTCTCCTCTCAAGCTGTCAGCATGACAGCTCGAGAGGAGAGAAATGCCGATAACCGGCATTTCTGTGTTTACATGTGATCAGCTGTGATTGGACACAGCTGATCACATAACCGAGTTGACATCTTTGGCTCTGTGATCCGCTGTGTCCGAGGGACACAGCGCACCGTTGATTGCCGCGCTGCGCGCTCCCTGAGCCGCGCATGCGCGGTGAGAATGGAAGGACGTCATATGACGTCCTATCAGAACGAGAGAACCACCTTGCACCCATCATTGTACTATATGGCGGGCGGAAAGTGGTTAAATCTGTGTGTGAAATAGTGACAAACCACAGTACTCTGTATTTTTTATAGGCAACATGGTAAAAGCCTCTATAGGTCATCAGTTTAGCTTTACAGAGAAGGTCTGATGCTATTAGGGCTCCTGTACACTGCAGCTGATAAACTCATGTTAGCTTTTCTGCGTTTTTTTCAGCAGCCCCTGAACTCTCTCTAATGTTTTCCTATGTGTCCATGTACAGATAGTCATTTACAGTCCTTTACAGGCAGTTGAGTTTTACAGTCGTTTTTTTGAACGCACCAAACTTGCGTTCAGAAGTAGATTTTATCAGCGTTGCAAACGCCAAACGCTTGTAAATGTGCAAAAGCGGCTAACCTCGTATAAGCGTTTGCGTTTAGAAGTGTTTAACTGTTCCATATCCAGATGTTCCATATCCAGGTCTGCTCTACCTCAGAAGAAGTGCGTGTGCACGAAACGCGTCAGGGACGTTGTTGACATCACGCCGCCGGCGCCACGTGGAGGCCCAGCGGCTATCTTTGATTTTGGAGGGTCAGTCACTCATTTGTATCTGGCACCACTGTGATTCTCACTAAACGCTTCTTTGCATAATAAAGTAAATTTACATACTACACTATGAGTTCTTCCCTGTGTCTCCTGTGAGGAGCCTTTCAACTTTTGTAGGCCTCAGAGTGACCCTTGTACCAGCTCTAGAGAGGGGGAATTACCTACTCCACACATCTCTGCAAGGATATCTCTGGCTTGTGGGACTTCATCTTCACCACACGAGGGCGCTTCATCTCCACATTTTCCAGCTTCTATCCATTTTCTGACCAGAAAGAGAGGGGAATCTTCAGGATATTTTATACACATGCGTATTACCAATACGCTTCTGGTTAGTGCGCATTTCTATCATTTGCACTGGAGAACAGCGAGCACTATTACAGGACTGCATTTCATTTATGATTTAAATTCCATAATTTTATGTTTGGTTTTATTTCTATATTATTATTGTTGCCTACATTAGGGCAACACCACACAGCGCTGCATTTTATATTTTGTACATTTATCTTGGGACTTCTTATGTGTTTTCCTTGAATGTTCAGCTGCTGACATTTTGGAGCGCTCACTGTAGCCTTTCTATTTATACAAGCCTAAGACACATGGCGGAGGGATCCCACGGGGAAGGGGGGAGGAGGAGGGATTGGTGCCCATTACCAGGGTGTGAAAGCAATCCAGCGCCGCTGGAGGCACCAGACTACTTTCATGGGAGAGTCAGAAGTCAACTTGTCAGATTTACAAAGTATGTGTAAAAACTCACTGTCAGGTCAATACAACCTACATACCTGGCAGTGAAAGGATTAAAACATTGCAATGGATAAAGATTACATAAAAAACAAAAACATTGCAATGACCTGCCCCCATATAAACATTACATGTTGATCACCTTACTTGTGTATCTTCAAACACTTCAATATAAAAACACGTGGTTGTTATACAGCAACATACAAAATTCAAACAGCAAAGAGTAAGAAAATTCTTCTGGTTCTTAAAATGCTTGCTGGTCTTCCTTTTATGCTAGATAAACTATGCATTAGGTACATTATATATCTCAAAATATCAAATGTCAGTTGAAAAGAATCACAAACATACTGAAGAATGCTTAAAGCGTAACTCCATTTTCATGAAAAAAAAAAATACCAATACAAAATGTCGGCTGAAAATGGGTCACAGGAATGCAGAATGAACTGCACTCCTGTGATCCACAGGAGCAGTACAGCCAAACAAGCTTTGTGTCACAAGTTAGCCTGCAGTTTCTTGTTTGTGTATTCTTACCTCCTTGCTGTAGTGCTGTTCCTGATCCCTTTCACATGTGTGGTTTGTCTGTGCTCATCTATGAGCGTCACCTGCTATTCTCTGGGTTTTATTTCCTTCCCTTCCATCACTTCCTGGCCCACCTCCTGGTTTGCTTGTCTATATAAGACATGCTCAGTCTAGACCACTTTCCTGAGCCACTTCTTAGTTCTCTGAGCTCCTGTTTGTTGCTACTCCTGTATACAACTACCTGTGTGCCGACCTGGCTTCGTTCACTGACTGTGCTTGATTTGCGCCAGTCCTGACCTCGGCTTGTCTATTGGATTTCCTGTTATCTCCTGTTATTGTATTTTGCTCATGCGAGCAGTCTTAGCATCCTCAGCTGGGCGTACCTTGGGTTCCGTGACCTGGTTCTAGCTAGCTGCAAGCCCATCCCCACCATCAGGAGTTCTGGTGAAGAAGCAGGCTGGGACTTAGACTCCATGCCTTGGGGAACCCCGAGTTAGCGATCTTCAAGGGCTCACTACCACAAACGTTTGAAAGTTTGCTGAGGCTATGAGCTCCTCGGAGACACCGCAGCCTCTCCTGGAACAGCTTCAGTGTTTGGCACAGAGAGTCAATGTCCAGCAGGCCTTTCAAGAACAAATTATGCAGTGTCTGCAGGAACTTTCCTCCCAGTTGAATCAGCTGCAGGTTGTGTCCACTTCCTCTCCATCTGTTTCGGCTCCTGTTCTGGTTCCTGCTGCTCCAACGCCCGCTGTTCCTCTTGTGGAACACAGTCATTCGAAACTCCAGTTGCCTCCACCGCCTTGCTTCTCTGGTGATTCCAAAGCTTGTCGGGGCTTCATCAAACAGTGCTCAATTCACTTTGAACTAGCAGCCCACCATTTTCCTACTGACCGTTCCAAGGTGGCGTACATGATCTCCCTTCTTTCCGGTGAAGCACTGGCTTGGGCCTTGCCACTGTGGGAGCATCAAGATCCTACTATTTTTTTATACTTTCCATAAAAGCTTTGATGTGCCCCGCAGGACTTCATCTGCTGCAGGAGCTCTTCTTCGGCTTCATCAAGGTAGCATGACTGTTGGTCAATATGCAGTTCAGTTTCGCACCTTAGCTTCGCAACCGGCATGGAATAATGAGGCCCTTTCTGCAACCTTTTGGCAGGGTCTAGCAAAAAGTATTAAGGATGAACTAGATGGAAGAACCATACCCACCACCCTGGATGACTTGATTGCTCTTAGCATCCAAATCGATGTCCACTTCCAGGAGCGAGATCTGGAAAGGGCTCGTCTTCCCAGTGAGTTCGTTAGCTCCTGTTTTCCAGAAATCCCCTGATCAACCTACCTTTGCAACCGTACCGGCATCTGAAGAGCCTATGCAGTTAGGCCGAACACACCTCACTTCACAAGAGCGATCGTGTCGCCTAAGGCTTGGCCTATGCCTTTACTGTGGGGGCTGAAGGTCATATAATTAAGTCCTGTTCTGTCCCTCCGGGAAACTCTCCAGTCTAGGTCACTCTGAAGGAGGAGGGGTACAATTGGTGGAATAAATGGTGGAGATGGATCTGGGAGTTCTGGTAGATCACAAGCTTAATAACGGCATGCAATGCCAATATGCAGTTTTCTAACATGAGCAAAATCCTCTCTTGTATTAAAAGAGGCATCAAAAACCCTCAAACTTAAAAAATCATTTGTTCTCTATGGTGCCTGTTCACACGATCAGGTGTGAACAGGCACCATAGAGAACAATTGATTTTGTAATTTTGAGCTTTTTTGGAGCTTCAAGTTTTGAGCTTCAAGCTACAAAATGCTCAAGTGTGAATGCAGCCTAACTCTGAAAAATGTTCTTTACCACCAGCTTTATGATAGCCACAATTCGCAGCACCTATGTAAATGTGTAATGACTAAGCCCTTATGTCACCGATATACACAGTTCTTAAAAGACTACTTGACTGTTCTTCAATGGTCCACCTTTAGTGATCTACATCTGCTTCTCACTCAGACAAGGCCACTCTCTTGATCAGGGGCGGACTGACAACTCATGGGGCCCCCCCAGGCAATAGGGGATCATGGGGCCCCTGTGTCCTTGCCCAAACTCAAAAAAGCTTATGAAAAAATGTACCAGGGGTATCTCATGGGGCCCCCTACTGACCCCGGGCCCTCGGGCAGTGCCCGAGTTTCCAAATGGTCAGTCCGCCCCTGCTCTTGATCTATATCCACCATTATCAACCAGGGTTCCTCCTAAGATTCTTAATGGTTTACTTGAGCAATGATGAACTGATATCCCACTTACACTGACCTTCTGTCAGGACAGGAGCGATGGAATGGGCAGGCAGACCTATGGTAAGGTCACGCAGCGATTGACGACAGCCACTACCCACAGACCAGAGTCCCTCAGGGCGCGGAGCCTAAGTCCCAGGCTGCCCTTCACCAGGGCCCCTGATGGTGGAGATGGACTTGATGCAGCCTGAGACCAGGTCGCGGACCCCGAGTAACCCCAGCTGCGGTAACGACTGCCGCCAATGGCGTACAGCTGGTGGGAGCTAGATGGGAAAACATGTAGCGTGGTCAGACCGGCCGGGTCTATAACAACGGAGCAGACAGTACAAGACGATAGCCAAAAAATACTCAGGTCACGGGCCGGGTTCAGCAACGGGAGGTCAGGTAAAGGGTTAAAGCAGAGAGTAGTCTTGTCCAAGCCGAGTCGGTTACCAGGAGAGCAATGAGAACAGAACAAGAGCTCGCTGCAAGGGAACATACAGGACACGAATGCAAAGAGCAAGTGCAGACAACAGGCTTAAATGTGATCAACCATACCCCTCTGGGGGAGGGACTGCAGAGGCCTGAAAGCATAAAAGGCTCCCACCATGCTTTGCAGAAACCCAAGATGGATGCCAGCACATGGAGCAGCACAACCTCTGAGAAAAGGTAGGACCTTGACACCTTCAACATAAGGGGGCAATTGTCTACAAACCATCAATGTAAGGGCTTACCCCTACACTGACCACTAATGTAAGGGGACATCACAATTTATTCATTTCACAATTATTACTGAAGATTAGTTTAATGTATGGGGAGGGGTAAAGAAAATAAAAAGAAAATATCTGCCATGGCTATTTAACACTATACAGGTCACATTCGTTATCATTTTATTTATTTAAAAGTTTAACACGTATGCAGGGGCAGACTGACCATTTGGAAACTCGGGCACTGCCTGAGGGCCCGGGGTCAGTAGGGGACCCCATGAGATGCTCCTGGTACCTTTTTCATAGGCTTTTTTGAGTTTGGGCAAGGACACAGGGGCCCCATGATCCCCTATTGCCCGGGGGCCCCATGAGTTGTCAGTCCGCCCCTGCACGTATGCTAATGTACCATAAACTATAGGTTTAACCAAACTTATCAAGTGTTTTATTTGAATAGACTACCTAACACACCCAAAAAAGTACATGCATTATTTTTTTGTAATGCAGTGCACCACAATGCATGCCAGTACATTACCATGTGTGGTGGTGCCCTGTAATGCAGCTGCCATTGGAATGCCATTAAGAATGAATATCTTACCTTGTGCATGACACCTTTCTTGTTTGGACACGTTCTTCTGGTCAGCAGGATTGTGTACTGTACATTGGAACTCCGTGTCCCAGGAGTAGTTCAGTGATACATGAATTGTATCTCCACTCAGCTCATAGACAGAGTTAGTGTGCTTGTACATCCAGTTATAGTTCAATGATGAGGAGTTTGTTGGCACAGAACAAATGAGAGTTGCATTACACCAGTGACTGGTCCTCTCCTCCAGTACAATCCTTATAGATGGGTCCGGGACAGGCTCTATAATCAGAAAACAGGGAAATTCAAGTTATATCATGTTATATTTGGATAGTGAAAATGTGCCAGGACTAATAATTTGTAATGTATATCTAATGTTTAGTTTTTTTTCAATGATTTTATAGTAAAAACCTAAAAAAGATCAGCATTGTAAAGAATAGTAATAAAGTATATATACAGTATATACACTACATATTGGAGCAGCTACAATTGCTCATTACATAGTCAGTGCTGCTTTCTGCTTTGCAATGATTTGGCTTTACTGCTTCTTCCCACAATGCAAGTCAACTAAGTAATTGAAAACAAAGCACTTACAGTGTGGCTCAGGGCCACAGATAAGGGGGTATAATCAGTGCTCCAATATGGGGGCCCAGGCCAGCAGGGAGAATTGGGCAGCAGGGGGAATAGGATGTGGGCAGGAAGGGTGATCTGCATGGTGGGGGTGGGGCAATTACTGGCATCGATCTCCTGTATAGCTCTCCACAGCAGCTGAAGGCTGGCAGGAGAGAGTGGATGAGAAGCTGGCTTTCAGCTGCTGCAGAGAGAGTGATACAGGAAAGCTGTTCCAGTATTTGGCCCCCCTTGCCAATCACCCACCCTGTACACCATCCGATTCACCCTGCTGTCCAAGCCCCCCTGTATGCCCCCCACCCGCAGCATCGGTAACTTCCTTCCTCTCCCTCCTGCTGGAAGCTGCAGGCACACAGGGATATGTTTCAGGATGGAGAGCAGGAGAGAGAATTGGCATTACTGGCCCCTTCTTTCCTGAATGAAGACAGTGAGTAATCGATACTGATCACTCATGCGATCATTCATAACTCCAGCATAGTATACTGCGTCTAGTGCAACTGAGAAAGGGATTGAGGAATTTATATCCTCAGTCTTTTTCTCTGTCTCAAAAATTAGACATTGGGGGTTCTGTTTAGATCCCTGATATTTCACCAAAGCACCCACCCCAACAACGTTGTAAAAAAATAAGAACAAAAGTGAAAAATAATTAAATGAGCCCCCAAGATCTCATTCACACACACAGAGCTATATTTACTTAACTCAGTACAGTATTATATTTTAGCTTTAGCAGGAATTTTGTAAGTTATGTTGTGTTTGTGTCCGCTAATAATGATTTTAGTGTATTTTTAACAAAAATATCATTTTGCAGGGAAGGGTGGCCCTGTCACAATAGGCTGTACGCGGCCCTGTGATTTCTAACAGCAGCCCGTGTGGCTGATGTTTTATCTAAACACTTGTTAAAGTGGAATCTCAGTTTTTTTTGTGTTCGTTTTTAGGTTCTCCTTCCTGTGTTACAAAAAATCTATGATCTATTTATCTTCTTCACATTCTAGCACTGTGCCCAAATTCTTCCTCTGTCCACAGCTAGCAGTCCTCTTTGGGCAGAACAATAGTCATCTCATTTCCTGTGAGCCCAACCTGTCATTTACACACTCACTTCGGGGTGCATCATTATGCACAGGGCTGCTGTTAGAAACCACGGGGCCCCATACAGGCCTCCCTTCACGCCCCCCCAAAAAAGACAGTTTACTATACTTCAGTTATGAATGAACACAGTGAATGATTGGCACTCACTGTGTTCATTCAGGAAAGGAAGGGGCTGGTAAAGGTGACTTTTTTACCGGTGCTTGCAGCTGCCAGTGGGAAGGAGAGGAGGGAAGCCAGCAGCACTGCAGGGGTGGGGACACACAGGGGGCCTGGGCAGCAGGTGGAAATGTATGGTGCACAGGGATGGTGATGGGTGGCTTTGACGGGAGTCACTTTGGGTGGGGGGCCCATGGAACACAGCTCACTTTGGAGAGGTGGGGAGACCCCTGTCTCAGCTCCCCATATCCCTATTATGTTTAAGTCACCCTGTGCCTGTTAGGGGTACAGATTGATCTGTCGTAATATTGGGTTGGGGGGTTGTTGATTGTTTAATGCCATGTGGTTGCATCCCATTGTTCTATTGTGTGTCTTGCTTGGGAGCAAACTATTATGAGATGTATGTGTTTGTGTATTGGCTTGGTGGAGGGTGTTTCCAGCAGCCCTCCCTCCTGATGGGACTGTCTGTTGGGTGTGTTTCTTGTTACTAAAGGTAGATTGCCCCGCCCTGTGTCATTATGCAGGGAGGGGGGGTTGTTCCC